CTAATTATAACGTACAATGCTTGCTCGACAGCAGCATCCATTGTTGCCGGATTTCGTATACAGGTGTTTCAGTTTATTGTTGCATAACTTTAAGATTCGATAGAACTTTTAAAATTAATGCATAAAATCTATATAAACATGGGTCGAAAAATGCGTGGCTTCCGAAATACATGGTGTTTAAATTTACTTTCTAAAATAGTTTTTTTTAAATATTCCGAACAATATTTGATGTATAACAGTGAAAATTGGTATACAAGGGTTTTTTGGTACGACAAAACGAACCATGGGCATAGTTTTACTGTAGCCGCTAGAGGGCGCTCTCTAAGGTACCTGTAGTGTATTAAAATGACCGAAAATTTTCTCTTAGTGCAATTTTTTGCTTTTTGAATAAAAAAAACTGATTCTTCGCACTTTTCTGCATAAAAAAGCTCTCGTGTGAGTTTTCGTTATAGTTAGCCATTTGTGAGATATTTCGATTTTTAAGGTTCGATGCATTTTTAATTATTTATGGGAAAATAATATTTTTTTTTACATTTTCGATTTGGGCATTACAAGTAATTAAGATGATCGTTTAGATTGTGTTTTTAAACACAGTAATAATTCCTAACTCCAAATAAACACAAAAAAACAGAATATTAATTGGTTTAATTTTCCAATATTATTTTTAACTAATTAAATTAATTATTTACAACTAAAATTCTATTGGATAGTTAGGACAAACATACAAAATCTAAAGTAGTTGCTCGAAATGTAAACCCAATTGTTCAATACACAATTCACATCTACGTATGCTCGAACGTGGTATAGCATTATTCAAATAAGGCCTTATTTCATCACATGCATTCCTGATTCTGTCTATTAGCATATCTCTAGTAGTTACGGGAGTCTGGTACACTTTTTCTTTTAGAAATTCCCACACAAAGAAATCTAATGGATTTAGGACAGGAGATCGTGGAGGCCAGGCGACTGGTCCTCCACGGCCGATCCATCTCTCTGGATAATTTTCGTCCAGCCAGTTTCTAACTATTCTCGAATAATGAGCTGGACAACCATCAAGCTGGAACCAGGCCAATCTTCTTAAATCTAACATAACATCATCCCACATATTTGCATTTTCAGCCTTTAAAAATTCCAAGAAGGTCGCAGCATTTAACCTTGCAGGCAAAAGGTAGGGTCCCAATAGTCGATTACGGTAGATACCAATCCACACGTTCACACTAAATTCATGCTGAAAATTTCTTTCTCGAACTGCATGCGGATTTTCATGCGACCAAATATGTTGATTATGAAAATTTACCACTCCACGTCTAGTGAAGGATGACCCATCGGTCCATAAAACGTTACTTAAAAACTCCCTATTATTATCAATTCTATCAAGAATCCACTGACAAAATGTGATTATTCGTTCTCCGTCCCCTGGCTGTAGTCCTTGCACAGGTTGCAAATGGTAAGGACGTCTATGGTTATTTCTAAGAACACGGTGAACATGTCTTGCTGAAATTCCCAAGGCACCAGAAACTCTTCTAACACTTGGTCGGATCTCTATCAAACTCACGCAGAATCATACGGGTAAATCTGTGCTGACGAACATTTATGTTTTGATCCCTTTGGAGATTTCCAAAACCATTTTCAATTATTTGGCGATGCACTCTTACAAATACTGAGCGAGTTTGATGTCGTCTGTTTGGAAATCTTCGTGCGTATTCTCTAGCTGCTTCTGCTGCGTTTCCATTTACAAAGCCATACAAAAAATGAATATCCGCTAACTCTTGATTGGAGAATAAAAATGGCATTTTTATAAAACTTACAAAAAACAGGTAAAGAAACTAAATTTCGTGCATTCACAATTGCAAAAAAAACGTTTCAGGTATCAGCAGACAACAAAACTAACTGTCAACTAATTGACGTTTAACCTTATTCTGCTTTCAATTTCAAAAATATTTGCAGGCACAGCCTACTTCTAAAAATTATCGAGATACTGACTTTTTAACGTTATTGTATCATAAATAATTAAAAATGCATCGAACCTTAAAAATCGAAATATCTCAAAAACGGCTAACTATAGCGAAAATTCACAAGAGAGCTTTATTATGTTGAAAAGTGCGAAGAATCAGTTTTTTTATTCAAAAAGCAAAAGTTGCACTAAGAAAATGTTTCGGTCATTTTAATACACTACAGGTACAGTAGAGAGCGCCCTCTAGCGGCTACAGTAAAACTATGCCCATGGTTCGTTTTGTCGTACCAAAAAACCCTTGTATACCAATTTTCACTGTTATACATCAAATATTGTTCGAAATATTTAAAAAAAACTATTTTAGAAAGTTAATTTAAACACCCTGTATTTCGAAAGCCACGCATTTTTCCACCCATGTTTATATAAACTTTATGCATTAATTTTAAAAGTTCTATCGAATCTTAAAGTTATGCAACAATAGCTGAAACACCCTGTATATTGAAATGAAATTTATCAAATTCCAAACTGTTTAACACTCTTGTAATGCTTTGATTTGAATAAATGATCGGAGATTTGAGACACGCCCGAAACTGATTTATGGTTTCCAGAAATCTCGCGAAGGAAGCTAACAAGACAAAAAAATAAGATAAATCTGTGAAGTATGTGGAATACCAGAATGCCGAATTCGAACTTTTGGTTTCTTCACTATGCTATAAAGTGGCTTTAAGATTTAGAAACTCTCAAAAGAAATGTTTCTCTCTTAACTGCGTCGCCACTATACTGATCTTCAAAACGTACAACGGCATGGTAACAAACTTGTTTCAAAATTTCATAAAAATTTAAAAAGGGTACATATGAAGATAAAACAATAAAGATTGCTTATGAAGAAGTATTCCGAAGTACGGGATGTGAACTTGAAATATTGCTTAATATAAAATGACCGGAGGATGAGATAACCGACGAAGAAGGATTTCGCCGTTCAAGCACCATTTTCCTTCCCACGCCTACTGGCGAGGAAGTATTGTCATTGCGAAAAGTTTTGAAATGACGAAAAACCATTTTAACTCATTTTCGTCTGTCTGTCTGTCGGCCCGGCAATTCCTGGCCCATCTATTTATAATTTGGGAAGTTCATGTCGGATGTTGGTGTTATTTTCACGCAAGGTTACAACTATGCCAAGGACGAAAAGGCTTTGTAGTGCAGTGGCGGCGTAAGAAAGGACGATCAAAAATCGAAAATTGCTTTAACTTCGTCTTTTGGCATTTCAGAGGCTTCAAATCTGTTTCATAAAATACTTTGTAAGGGCCAATATAGGGAGTTAGGGGTTGTAGGTAGTGGGGGAGTATATGTCTCCGGTGTTTGGAGTTATTATATTGATACGCTTCCAACTCCGGTAACTCACACCACCTACTAAACATATTATACAGGGTGTTTCAGTTCATTGTTGCATAACTTTAAGATTCAATAGAACTTTTAAAATTAATGCATAAAGTCTATATAAACATGGGTCGAAAAATGCGTGGCTTCCGAAATACAGGGTGTTTAAATTTATTTTCTAAAATAGTTTCTTTTAAATATTTCGAACAATATTTGATGTATAACAGTGAAACTTGGTATACAAGGGTTTTTTGGTACGACAAAACGAACCATGGGCATAGTTTTACTGTAGCCGCTAGAGGGCGCTCTCTACTGTACCTGTAGTGTATTAAAATGAGCGAAAAATTTTTCTTAGTGCA